AATATACATATATTTTTTTATTTATATAAATATATATAGGTTTTCTTTTATTATTATAATTTCATTTGCATGGCCATTATATATAATTATTATTTTTTTAATTATAATAATAATTATTTTTATTATTATTATTATTATCATTGTTATTATTATTATTATTATTATTGTTATCTATATTATATTTTTATTTTTATTATATATTTTATTAATATTTTTTTTTTCTATTTAATTTTATTTAAAGTTTGAATTAAATGATAAAGTATTAAAATTTTCCAATATCTATTTGAAATTGCCACTTAAACTAAAACTATTTTTTTTAGAACAATTATGTGAACTAATAATATTTTATGACTTCTACACTGTTTTATTATTAATACTGTTATTTTTTTCAAAAATATTATTTACTACTTCCTTATATCTATTATCTTAAAACGAGTTTTATTAATTACTTTAAATTTAACTTTTTTTTTCTCAAAACTTTCATCTGTAACAATATTTATTGAATTAAAATATTTCCTTTAATTAGTAATATATTTTTTCGGTATTTAGACTTTAATTCTGGGAAGTTTTCCATGTTTTTATATATCCAAATCTTTAAAAACTGTCTAAAAATCTTTATAATTGACATATTATTCCTAAACTTTAATTTTCTCAGTCTAAAATTAATTCAAGTAAGGATTATATATCCTTTATTTTTAACGAATAATCTTTAAATAAACATTTGGATTATCAAAAACATCTTCTATATTATCAAATTACCAATCTAATTTCTTTTAAATTTTTTTTTTTTTTTTTTTTATTTTATTTATTTACTTTACAAAATTCTTAAAGAAAAAATTTCGATTTTTTACTTAAAACATGATTAGATCCTAAATTATCTATAGAATTAATATATGAATTAAAATAAGCCAAAAATGCCTATTCTATATCATTAAAAATTTCATATTAAATTCCTATATTATGAAAACAAATTGTCAAGTTTTATATTGTATATAGAAATAATTTTGAATTTTTATTAATTTTTTCAGATTCTAAAAATATTTATTAATAATTAACAACTGATTATTTTAAAAATTTTAAGCTTTTTTAATGACTATTTTATAATATATTTAAATATAATATATATTTTTAATAATACTCTCCAATTTTAGATAATAAAGACCCAATATTCATATTAGTAATTCCTAATAATGTAAAAGAAGTTATAGACTAACATTCCTATAAAGCCTATTCTAGTACTTATAAAGCACTATTATTATCTTCTATACATCTAAAATAATGCCCAATAAAATTTAAGCATGTAATTCTTATTAAAGGAAACTAAGGATATTTATGAGGTTGAGTTAAATCATCAATAAACATTAATAATTCAATGGATTTTTCGAGATCTTTGTTATCGAAATAATTTTTAATTAAATTAAATAATTTTTAAATGTTTTATCTAAAAAAAATATCAAAGTACTTTTATTAGTATTCTTTTTGAATTTATTCAATAACTAATAAATATATAAAAAAAAAATATATAAATAGATATAAAAATAAATATATATAAATAGAAATATATATATATATATATATATATATTTTTATATTCATTTTTATATATTACTCTAATTTATTTAATTTATTGATTAAGTTATTATATTATTTTCTATTTATTTTATGCAATTATCAAATAAAAATATATATTTCTGAAACAAATTTTATATTTTTTCTTATAATTAAATATTTTATTCTTCTTCTTCTAAAAATTAAAATTCGAAAAAATTATTTTATTTCATTTTTTATTTTATTTTAATAAAAATAATAATAATAAAAAATTATTCAATAAAATAATAAAAAAATACTTATTATTTTATTAATATATTTTTTTCATTATTAACTAAAAAAAAAGGTTAAAATAATTGGAATATTATATTACAATAAATAAATGTAAATTTATTTATATAAACAAAATTTTTACTTTTATTATTATTATTATATTTAATAAACCAAAATTTAACCAAACATCATTATTTGTGATTAAATAACTATACTTAAAATCTTTTAGATTGAAATATAAAGGAAAAATATAATTTAAAAGCCAATATTTAATAAAATTACTTTATTATTTATGTTTATTAATTCAATAAGGTTTAAAAAAACGAATTAATATTAGATTTTAATTATAAAAATTTAATATATATATTTTTTTAAAAAGAAATAAAAAAAAAAATAATTAAAAAAAACATAAGATAAATTAATAAAAAAAATTAATTCTCTAATTTATAATTTAAAAGAAAGGGCAAACTTTATAAATTTAAATTGTGAAATTAAAAGATAATTATAACAAAAATAGTATAAAAATATAAAATTAAACTAATTTTATATGCAAAGAGATAAAATTAATTAAGTAAAGATATTTAAATATATATTACTGGATATATAGTTAAAAGATATAAAAAAAATATTATTATTTTTTTAAAAAGAAATTGAAAATAAAAAAAGAAAAAGGTTACTAAAATTTAGTTTTATTTATATATAAAATGAACTTTTAATATAACTAAATTTATAAAAAAAAAAAAAAAATTAGCAAAAATTTGATTTAAAAAAAAATGAAAGAAAATAATTTATAATATAAATAAAAAATTATTTAAATAAAATAAAATAAAAATAAATAAATATATAAATAAATTGATTATTTAAAATATTGTAATATTTATATATATTTATATATTTATATATTTATATATTTATATATTTATTTATATATTTATATATTTATATATTTATATTTTTTTTATTTATATATTCATTTCATTTTTTTTAATAAAAATTATATCTTTTTTTTTAATTTTTAATTTCTATATAACATTATATTATTTTTTTATTTTTGATAATAAATATTTTTATTATATTTTTTTTTTCTTTATTATATCTTTTATTTTATTATTATTATATAAAAAGAATTTTGAAATTTTTAATTTAATATTTAACATTTTTAAAATAAATTTTTTTCATTATATTTATTTATATATTCACTTGAAAAATACTCATTTTTTTGGTAAAGGAATATTAATATTGCAATCATTTCCAAAGTAATTTTTAGCACAATAACATTTATTATTAATACAATATCCATTTGAATTACAGAAATTAGGACAAAATTTTTTAAACCCACAAAATTAGGTTATATTATCAGGACATATTAATTCTCCACTATATCCCTTAACCTTCAATCTTTACAAATTTTATGTACATGTGACTTTAGTTTTTCCAACCTAAATAGTCACTTATTATCCGTTAGATTTACATTCATATTAATAACATTCTCCTGTTATAATTATTTTTTATTATTAGCTTTTTTCCTTTAATATAGAATTGTTAAAACATCTGGAATTAATTCCAAATTGAACGCCCAACTTTTCCTGATTATCTTTGGTATTGCGATCACTTTTAATATTCCAGCATTTCGAATCTTCGTAAATTTCAAATGTATTGCAATTATGTTCATTATATTAACCTTTAGAACATTCTGAAGCTCCAAGATGATAATAATCACATAATTCATCATCGATTTCAGGTTCACAATATTCTCTTCTGTTAGAATCACATTAACCAGTGATGTGTTGACAACCTACTCCTTATCCATAGAATATTTTTTCTACCATAGATTCATTTATTTCATCATAGAAACCTGTGTCTCTCAAAAGATTCGCTGTAAAACCACTATAATAGGCTTAAGTATTTGATACAGATGCATTCATATATTCGTTTTCGATGACTGTGCTTTTCCAATGAGTATTTATAGAACCTTCAGCTCCTATATTTTCAAGAGGCATGCCATCTAAAGTAGGACAATTAAAATATTATCGAGCAAACTCCAAAACTTTAGGTGTTCTAATAAATATAGTATCCAATCCCCTTAATTTTCTTTTGAAAAAAGGGTTAATATGATGAGTTTTATCAGTAGTCACCCATTTTGTTATATCTGTATAGCTAAAACCCAAATATGAGTTATTTCATGGATAACTATTTCCATTAAATTATTGAATTCAATTGTATCATCCCATTTTATGCCTTATAATTTGCTTAAATTAAAGTTAACATCGCCATGAGTAGGTCCTAGAATGTCCAAAAATTAACACCAACCAGCATTTGCTAAATATTCTTTTGTTGGATCATATAGAAATTGTACATATATATGTAAATCAGAGTCTTTTCCCTTTGTCATTTTGAGGAATTTTAATACCTCCACATTTTTAATAACTGGTAGATTTATATCTCATATTTTATTCGGATTTAGGAACTATTTTTATTAAACGATTAAAATAGTCAATTGCTAATTTTAAAGCTTTCTCGCAGATAGAGAATAACAGCTTTTACTACTCTTAAGTAGAACCTTTATTAGTTGATAGATTTTATTTAGGCATATCGTAGCTTATTACCATATTACGGGTTTTTTTTTTTTGTAAGTTACGAACATCTAAAAATTCATCATCAGGGGGAATTGAGTGGTATTATGAGACTTTTTTCAGTTTATCATGATAGCATTAGTGTTAAAGAGCATTTAAAAAGAAAATAAAAGTGAATAAAAATAGGGTTAATAAAAATATTTGCATTTTTTATAAAAAAATTATTATTATTATTATTATATTTGGATTTTATATAGTGTATTTATATATAGTTATTTTTTTATTTGATGCTAAAAAATGGATTAAATGAATAATTTTATTTAATTTAAATATTTATTTAATAAAAAAATGAATTTATTAAATACAAATATAGATAAATAGTAATTTAAAAATGAAAAAATAAAAAATAGATAAAATAAAATTTAAAAAATAAAAAAATATAATTATATATAAAGTAATTTTTTTAATTATTAAATATAAATGAAAAAAATTTGTAAATTATTTATTAAAAGATAATAATTTTATATATATTTTATTAAATCTTATAAATTAAAAAATATGGTTAAAAAATTATTTGTAAGATAAATATATTTGATATATTTATATATTAAAAAATTATAAAATATAAATAAAAAGATAGTCAATATATAAATTATAATATAGATATTTAATAATATTTAAATAGAAATTATATATAAAAATGTAAAAGAAATTATATTAAGAAATACATTAAAATTATATATATATATATATATATATATATATTATATATATATATATAAATATTTATATATTTATATATTTATTTTTTAACTACTTTTACATTTGCCTTAACTTATAAAATATTTATATTTTTTGTAAATTTTTATATTTTAACTAATTATAATATTAATATTAATTTTTTTTGTTGGTCTATTTCTACTTAAAACCTCACAAATTATTTCTTAAATTATAATTTTTTTATCTTTAATAATTTTAGTTTATGTTTTAAATTTTTTTTAATTTTATAAAATCTTTTGTTTTTAAAAATAAAAAAAAAATTATATAAGTTATAATTCATATTTATATATATATATATATATATATATATATATATATATATATATATATATATATTATAAAAAATAATTTTTTTAATATAATATTTTTTAATAATATTTTTTTTAAATTTAATATAATAAATTATTTTTAACTTTATATTATTTAATATTTAAGTAATTCCTACTTTTTTTTTTTAAATAATTTTTTTTTTTTTTAATTATTATATATTATAGTAAATATATTTAATTATATTTATGTTTGTTTGAATTAAAATATTTTTATTAAAACTAAAAAATTAAAATTTATAAAACATTTTAAATTTAATATTAATTTAATAATAATTCTTTTATTACAATGTAATATATTATATTTCTTAAAATTTATTAAAATAAAATTTATTTTATTAAATAAATTTAATTAAATTATTTTTATTTAATATATAATATTTTTTATCAAAATTATCTATTTTTTTATATTATTTATATTATTTAATTTATTAATTATAATTTAAAAATATAATAAATAATTATTTTAATTTAAATTAATCTAAAAATAAAAATTTATTAAAAATATATATTATTTAATATAATATAAATAAAAAATAAATTATATAAAATGAATAAATATATAATACTATTATTTTTTATAAAATATATTTTCGGTTTAAAAGCACTTGAACACTAATGTATCCATGATGAAATGTATTAAAGCTACTAATAAGAATCATTCCCCTCTGATGATTAAATTTCAGATAGCCGTAATTTACAAAATAAAAAAGCCCGTAATATGGTTATAACTTACGATATGTCTTATTTCTAAAGATTAGCTTAAAATTAATAAAATAAATAGTTAATCGATATTTGTGAGAAAGCTATAAAATTAGCAAATAGTTATTTTTCTCAATTAATAAAAATAATCCCAAAATCTGAATTGGATATGAGATATAAACCTACTAGTTTTACAAAATGTGGAGAATTCGAAATTCCTTAAAAAGACAAAGTTAAGGGAAAAGAATCTGATTTACATATATATGTATAATATAAAAATGAACCATAATAATCGTATATGGCCTATGCTAATAGGTGTTAATTTATTGAACGTCTAGGACCTACACATGGTTAAGTTACTTTCAATTTTAGCAAATTAGAAACTAAAGATTTGAATGATCCAATTTAATTTAAAGATTTAATGTAAATTGTTATCCATGAAATGACTCATATTTTGGGCTTTAGTTATGCAGATATACCAAAATGGGTAAATTCTGAAAAAAATCATCATACTGAACCGACTATTTAATAAAAATTAAGGGGAATTGATACTTTATTTCTCAAAACTCCTCACGTTTTATAGTTTGCTCGAAGATATTTTAATTGTCCTACCTTAGTTGGTATGCCTCTTGAAAATTTAGGAGAAAATTCTTCTAAAAATTCTCATTGGAAAACCACAGTCATCGAAAACGAATACATGAATGCATCTGTATCAACTACTTAGGCATATTTTAGTGGTTTTACAGCCAATCTTTTAAGAGACACAGGTTTCTATGCGGAAATAAAAGAATCTATGGAGGAATAAATATACTACGGGAAAGGAGCAGGCTGTCAACACGTCACTGGTTAATGTGATTCAAATAAAAGAGAATATTGTAATCCTAAAACTGACGATGGATTATGTGATTATTATCATCTTGCATCTTCAGAATGTAAACTTGGCTAATTTAATGAACCTAATTGCAATACTTTTTAAATCTTCCATAATGCAAAATGCTGGGATGTTAACAGTAATTTGAATAAATAAGGAGCTCAGAATGTGATTGGAGTCAAATTTGGGAATGATTCGAGATGTTTTAATTCTTCTCTACGTATTAACGAGTATAAATCATAAAAAGCTACAACATAAATATCAGGAGAATGCTATAAATATGAATGTAATTCTAATGGAACATAAGTGAGTATTTACGTAGGAAAAACCAAAGTTAAAGTTGTTTGTACTAAAAATTTAGAAAAAATGACAGTTAAAGGATATTAAGGAACTATTGTATGTCCTGAAAATATAAACTATTTTTGTGGGTTTAAAAAATTTTGTCCGAATTTCTGTAGTGCAAACGGATTTTGTCTAAATAATAAGTGTAATTGTGCTAATAAATACATTGGAAATGATTGTAGTTTTAAAATTCCTATTTGAGAAGGATTAGTGTTTTTATTATTATTAACAAATAAAATATTAATTTTTTAATATTAATATTATAAATAAGCTAATAATTAAAGTTTTCGTTCATTTTTTTTTTATAAAAATTAATAAATTTAACATAAAATTATAATACAAAAATACTACTAAATATATTTTTTATATAAAAATTATTATTACACAAAAATATTTACAAAAATAATTATATATGGCAAAAATTAATTAGTTTTATAAAAATAAACTTAGTTATTTTAAGATAAATAAAAACTCTTATAAAATTTGTAAAACTTATAAAATTATATCAGTATATTTATTATAATTTTCAATCTTCAAATTAAATAATTAAGTTTTACTAAAATCATATAAATAAATAAAAATTTTTGATAAATAAAATCAATTAATATAATTTATTTTCAAAAAAATAAATAAAAAATGTATATTCACTCCAAAAAATATACCATATTTTACATTTTATAACTTATAAATAAAAAAACTTTTTTATTTTTATCAAAAAATATTTATTAAAATCAGTTTATACCTTTTTATATATATTATGTTGACAAACTAATAAATGTATATTTTCATAAAAATAATTTATGATAATTTTTTTTTTTTAATAAATATAAATCATAAAATTGATATATAAATATATATATTTATATAAAATATATATATTTTTTTTTATATTTACTTTATTAATATTTTTTTATATGTTTGAATATATTAAATTTAATTTAGATTTTATATTTATTCTATTTTTTATTAGTGATTTTTCTCTAAATTCAATTTAATTTCATTTAGTAGAGAATAATGATTTAAATATATATAGATCAATGTTTTTTATAATTTATAAATAATTTTATAATTTAATTACTTTATGTATTTAAATAATTTTATTAATTATATATTTTTTTCATTATAAATTTATTATTAAAAAAAAAAAAAAAAAATAATAATAATTTTAATATTCTGTATTTTATAATAAAATATATATATATATATAATTATATATAAAAATATATATTAATATATATTTATATATATATTTGTTAATTTATATTTTTTTATTTTATATATTTTTTTATTTTTTTATTTTTTTATTTTATATATATTTTTATTTTTTATCATTTCAACAATGTGTATTTTTTTTTTAAATGTTTTATATTATATAAATTATAATTATTAGTTTTTTTATATAAATATTATATTTTTTTAATTTATATAAAAAATATTTTTTTTAATATTATTTTAATTGAATTTTTTTTGTTTTTTATAAATTAAATTATTTTGTTAAACTTTAAAATTTTTTTAGAATTATAATTTTTTCTTAATATCTTATTATATTTCGAAATTTTTTTTTTATAAATATTTTTATATAAAAAAGATGTTTCATAAATTGTTCAATTATCTATATTTTAAAAGATTTTTTTATTTAAAAAATTAAAAATAAGTTATTTAAAATAAAATATATTATATTTATAAATTAATTAAAACTAAGCAAAAATATATTATTATATTATTTTTTTTACAAAAAAATTATTTAATTATATTTTATATGCATATATTATATTAAATAATCATAAATTTTTTAACAAAATTTATATTTTTTATAAAATATTATATATTATGTTTATATTAATTATATCTTTTTTTAATTTAAAACACTGAAATATAATTAAATAATATTTGTGAAAAATAAAAAAGATAATATTTTTATTTTTTAATAAATAAAAAATATATAAATAATTAAAAAAAGATTAATATTAACCAATAAAATTTAAAATATATATATATATATATAATTATTATAAAACTTATACTAACTTTTTTTTTTTAGAAACCAGTATTTTAGGTTTATAAGTTCTCTAAAACTAATGTGTCTATGATGAAATAAAAAAAATATTAATTTATTTATAATTAAATAATATCGATATACGTAATTTATAAAATATTAAAAATCATATTAGGGTTATAACCTACAGTATATTTTATTTATATTGTTAAGCTTTTTAAGATTTTTATAACTAAATTATAATTATATGCTCTGTTTCCTATAAAGTTATAAAATACATACCAGTTATGTAGAATGTTAGAGGGTTTAAATTCCTTAAATAGATAGAATTTAGGGAAAAAACTGTGCTTAAATAAACGAATCTATGGAAGAAGTAATATACTATGGAAAAGGCTGTCAATACATCATTGGCAAATAT